CCCACCAAAAAGGTGGGAAAATATTTTCAATCAAATCAAGGAAAACAGGCGCGTGGAGATGGGGGTAGGAAAATTTTTTCCCTATAAAATATAGGCTATCAAACAAGCCAAAAGCAAGAAAATGGAATTTTTTTTCCAATTTCCACGGAAATAATGGCTTGTCAAACAGCACATTATATTTAGAGTAAGAAAGAGGCATAGCTATATATGGGACCTATGATGGGACATGGAAATTTTGAGAATTTGTTAATTTTTTTTAAAAAAAATGATGTCTTTTAAATTATCATAAATCTACAGAAAATTTATAAAATTTACCACAAAATATATTAATTATGGAAATTGCATTTGTGTTGCTCATCTGAGATGGACATGAAATACTGACATGATGTGTCACAAATTTGGGACGAATCATTTATTCTTGTATACCCTTTGAATACGAGGTGTTACAAATTTGGGATTTCATAATTTGTGGATGATACCTTCATTCTTAAGAATAATGCTGCTGTGGCTAAGTTTTTTTTTTTAATATCAAATTGTCCAATAATATTGCTCCACGTGTTCTCCTATTTTTAATCCTTGTCACCGAGCCTGTGTGTACAATATGATTGCATTCCTAATTGCGTGCCACCTCTCCTCTTCTGGCGAATTCCTTCTGGACAAGTCATATAGAAAAGAAGAGTCTTTACGCTACCACAGTAAAGTGGCTGTTTAAAGGGCATTTCATTTGTAGCCTCTTAATTATTCACCCGCCCTGCTGTACAATTTTTAGGTCACACAAACTGCAACCCCAATTCTTTTAATTAACAACTAATTATCTTTGCTAATATATATAAAAATTTAAACCATCTGTTACATAAACATACGGACAGAAGAAGAGAAATTTACTATATCAAATATAAGTAGAAGAGATAAGTATTTTAGCGACTCCTTCGAATAATACAATGAAACCCTAAAATACTCCGCTACCACCACAAACCCGAAAAGAATCTCATAATTTTAGTTTCACCACATATGTCCACCACAAACCCGAAAAGAATCTCATAATTTTAGTTTGACCACATATGTCCACCACAAACCCGAAAAGAATCTCATAATTTTAGTTTGACCACATATGTCCACCACAAATTTTTTGAGTCGAGCCAAATAGAATTCAGATCAGTGTACTACGTTATCACTGCATGAGAAAAAATTATTTATTTTTCGAGAGAGTTAAAAGTTGTGTCATCCTCGTAAAAACCATGTGCTTGGTGTAAATAACGGTCTATACTACAAAAAGTTCGCATTTAATGACACCATTTTTATCTTAAAAGTCATTGTTAGGTTGCTTCGTCGGAAAAACTTTGTTAAGAAACTTCTTTCAAAACAAAAGTTTTCATCAATGTAGGGGAAAATCCAGGAATGGAATTAAAAAAATAATAATAACTGGACTAGTATGTAAAAAAATAAATAATTTTTTCACGTAATTTTATACAGGCAAAAATCGATATGGCATTCAGGCCAGCCCCTAAGTCCGCCACTGGATAAAAATAATTTTCTTAGTATATAGACATCCCAAGTACAATTAAAAAATTGTATTTTTTTTTCCTAGTCTACGTATTTGAAAAAAAAAAATGTGTTACTAATTTATTCGAGTTTGTTGAAACCTAACTATTGAATTAAATATGTAGGAAACTTAAGTACCAAGGGCATGATGGTTGTTGTGGCTTGCTCAATCACATGAATCTCAACTACCTAGTCTTATTCACCTCTATAAATACTCTACCACACTCCCTTAACATAAAACAATTATCTAAGTAACAAAATCTTCCTCTTTCTTTAAAACTTCAACTTCGTGAAGAAATGGTAACGGTCGAGGATGTTCGTCGTGCTCAACGGGCAGAAGGGCCAGCCACAATCATGGCCATTGGCACTGCAACACCACCAAATTGCATCGACCAGAGCTCGTACCCAGATTACTATTTTCGGATCACTAATAGTGAACACATGACTGATCTTAAAGAAAAATTCAAGCGCATGTGTAAGATATATAGCTACATAAATATTATTTTTTTCACCATTTTTAAGGAAACTTCTCAACAATAGTGACATGTTTTTTTAAGGTTTTAACCCAAATGGCAGTATATTGTTATCATGCATTTATATATGCAACTTAATTTAGCCATTAATAAGGCAGCATGCAATGAAAGATGCATGCTTTTACTGGTAGCTTTTTAAATGTCCATTTCTAGGATTTTTTTCAAGCTATTTTCTGAATCCCCTCAGTTTATTTTTTTTGTTTATGGAACAAAATACTCATCGATAGATCGTGATTAAAAGCTTCTCAAATATGTTACATACTGTCGAGAAAAAGAGCTAAAGATGCAGGCTTTAAGCAAGGCCAAACATGTACATACACATTTCTATGCATCGTTCTTTCAACTGTACGTACAAGTTAATACGTGTTCTTTAATATTAAGTCAAAAAAAAAGAAAAGGCCAATTTATGTTACACAAAGGCCCCGGGGTAATTTCCTAATTTTATACAGATTTAAATAATTTAGTTTTAATCGGTTTTGACATTTACTATGTTTCAGGTGATAAATCCATGATCAAGAAACGTTACATGTACTTGACTGAAGAAATCTTGAAGGAGAATCCAAACATGTGTGCATATATGGCTCCATCCCTTGATGCTAGGCAGGATATTGTGGTAGTGGAAGTCCCTAAACTAGGCAAAGAAGCTGCCCAGAAGGCAATAAAGGAATGGGGTCAGCCCAAATCGAAAATAACTCACCTCGTCTTCTGCACCACGAGTGGGGTCGACATGCCTGGTGCGGACTACCAGCTGACCAAACTCCTCGGGCTCCGTCCTTCTGTCAAACGCTTCATGATGTACCAACAAGTAATGAATCTTGAACTTCTATCTCAAAGTCTCAAAAACGAGTACTTACGTTGTAAATTAATATTTTATATTTATTCGACGTGACAGGGTTGCTTTGCTGGTGGCACGGTCTTGCGCATGGCCAAGGACCTGGCGGAGAACAACAAAGGAGCTCGTGTTCTCGTGGTTTGCTCGGAGATCACTGCTGTCACGTTCCGCGGCCCAAGTGACACACACTTGGACAGCCTTGTGGGTCAGGCCCTATTCGGGGATGGCGCGGCTGCTGTTATAGTCGGTTCAGACCCGGTGGTCGGGGTTGAGCGACCCCTTTTTCAGATGGTTTCAGCTGCTCAAACTATGCTTCCAGATAGTGATGGTGCAATTGATGGACATTTACGTGAAGTGGGACTAACATTTCATCTCCTAAAAGATGTTCCGGGCCTGATATCGAAGAACATTGAGAAAAGTCTAAAAGAGGCATTTGATCCTCTAGGCATATCTGATTGGAACTCAATTTTTTGGATTGCACATCCTGGTGGGCCTGCAATTTTAGATCAGGTTGAGTCAAAATTGGGCTTGAAGCCCGAAAAACTTCGCTCGACTAGGCACGTCTTAAGTGAGTACGGGAACATGTCGAGTGCCTGTGTTTTGTTTATCCTCGATGAAATGAGGAAGTCCTCAACCAAGGACGGGCTGTGCACAACCGGTGAAGGGCTTGATTGGGGAGTACTATTCGGGTTCGGGCCGGGCCTCACAGTTGAGACTGTGGTGCTGCATAGTTTGCCAGTTTGATACACAATTTGTGTTGCACATAATATGTTAGGACGAGTTTCCAAGAATGTTGCAAGTAATGCTACTATAATGAAAATATCACGAGGAAATTATGGCTTTCCTTGTACAATAAGAGATTTATTATTAATAATTCTATTATTCACATAATATATATCTCAAATATAGATTTTTAATCGGCTAATTAGCACAAATCGTCCCTATCTTTGAGGTCTATTGTGGAAAACGTCTAAAATTTCATTTTGTGGTGCAAAACGTCCCTATCTTTCACTTTTGTAGAGCTCAACGTCATTTTAGTCTCTTTTTGACGATTTTGCCCCTCATTCAG